GCCCCTTTCCACCGCGAGCTTAAATCCCTGGGGAGGTTTGGATACGAAGAATGACCTGAGAGATCATCAAGATCATCAACATGACATTGTCCGTCCTTCAGCGGGCAGTGAGAAGTTGGCAGTGAGTTGAGATCTCATCTCCTCCTCTCATTTCATCGTCTATCCATAGAATCGATGTCGCTGGTGGTGGTGCCGCCCGAGGTGGCCTGTCTGGACGGCAGCGTCGAGTCCTTCTTCCGCGGCATCGTATCGGGCACAGTCTTCGGCATTCTATTCGCCAAAGAACTCAACACACCCAAGCGCAAACCTGGCAGCAGCAGCGGCAGTGCCACTCCCACTCATCAGCAACCGAGTACAGGCGTGTCATCATCTCGGCCGCCCTCTTCGGGCAAAATCCAGCCGCATTCGTCAGTGTTGCGCGGCGTGCGGTGGATAAGTCGTCGGAGTCTGCTGACGGGCAAGACCGCCCTGTACTTTGGATCTTGGTGCTGTAAGTCATCCACACTCACTGCAGAGAAGACGCATACACATTGACAGGCTGCTTCATTGTCGGATTTTCTGGGTGTGTCTGATGGACGATTGTGTGCGTTGGTTCAGTTGTGACGTCGTTCATGTCGTGTGCGCTGCGGCGCATCGGGGTGCCCTATCCGCTGGACGCCGGCACTGGAGGGGCCGTAGCAGGCGCACTCGTGTAAGGCCGAATACAGCCACACACACCCTCACACACAGACGAAAGGTCTCCAAGTGGGGTTGTCTGGTGTGCGTGTGTGTGTGTGTGTGCAGTTCGATAGTTGGTCGTGAGTCGGCCAACTTTTTCGCCACGGCCGTCCTCGGCAGCGCTGCGTTCAGGTGAGAGAAGCGAACCACCACACAAGGCAAACCAACGGCTTGACACCCGTGTCTGTGTCTGTGTGATGTGTGAACGTGGTGAGCAGCATAGTGGTGCACGGCGTCGACACGGACAAGAAGTCCACCAACTTGTGGAGAGATCCAGCATGACAACAGACAAGACCGCCGGCCGTCTGCTGATGTCGGTGGGGGGCACTTACAGAATGCGGCGTGGTTCGACGATGGACTCGAGATGCGTGCAGAGAGATCGATCCATCGACAGGCAGACAGACAGGATGTGTGTGTACAGTATCGTCGGTAGGGACACGGATGCGTTGACACGTGAGTGACATTCGCATGGCCATTCTGTGTACTTGCACGCTCGGTTCAAGGATGGTGCATTTCCATGGCGTGCGTGTCTCTCATTCGTTTACTTACAGCCCGGCCGAAATCTCTGATGCATTAACCATCTTCTTAAAGGCACACACGCAGACACACACACACACACACACATGCCAGAAGGTCCACATACATATCGGCCACATGTCTATAGCACGTATCGAGCCATACACACATACGGCCTGCATCCACACCATACCATCCTCCATCAGCAGCCATATCAGACTGCCCAATCAATCGCCCATAGCCATAGCCATATCTCTATCTCTATCTCTAGCTACTCTAGCCATCTTGCCTCAATGGGCTCGCTCGTATTGTCTGTCTGTCCATCAGACGAGGTAGTTCAAGAGCTCCATAGCGTCGAAATCTCTAACGGTGCGCTGCTGGCCAAACACGCTCTTCATCCACAGCAGCATCGGCCCTTCTTTATCAGCTACTGTAGGGCTATCACGCCCCCCCCCCGCCCCCATCTGCTGTGCTGCAGGGGATGCCGAGAAGATGGCCGACGGGGGAGACGCGAACATCGCCCGCCGCTGCGCATCCAGCCGACGCTCAGACATGGTCGAGTGATGAGAGTGCAGGCGGCTCGTGTTGGCCTCCAGCTGCAGCATGTTGGTCGCATTGCTGGTGGGTGACAGCGACAGGTCCTGTTCGTCTTCGTGTGGGGCAGTATCCTCCTCCGACTGATGATGGCCGACAACGCCGCGGAGGAACAGGCTGGTCTTAGTCACGTTGGGGGCCGTTGCTGCCGGGCTGATCGTGGTGTATGTTGTGTCGTTGGCCATTGGGATGGATGTGGCTGTGGGTGTGGGAGTGGGAGTGGGAGTGGGAGTGGGTGTGGGGGGCGGTCGTGTGCCGAAGAGCCACCCCCACCAGGTGCGACGAGGGGGCTTTGTCGTACTAGTTGCCATGGTTGTGTTGGTCGTGTTGGCGGACACGCTGGCTGCTGGGGCGGCTGGAGGGGCCGTCGTGGGGCCGTCGTTGGATGGGGGGAGGGTGGCTTTGTGCTTGTCGCCTTTCTTGTGCGTGGTGTGTTGCAGGATGGGGGCCTGCTGAGCCATAGGCTGGCTGCCGTCTTGCTCTCCAGGCCTTGCTGGTGCGGGGACAGGGACAGGTTCAGGAACTTGCCCGCTGCCTGCTGGTGGCTGCTCCTGCTGCTCGTGTTGGTGGTCATTGGCTGTGGTGGTCTGCTCGTGCTCGGTGGTGGTTTCGGTGCTAATTGTCGTCTTGACGGTGACCCCCGGGCCGTGGACGGTCTTGCTGCCCTGCTGGGAATGAGTGTGGTTGCCGACGATGGTCACGTACGTCACGGTGTGGACGTCCGTGCCGCCCCCGTGCGACTCGCTGGTGATCAACGTCTCGTTGCGCGTCGTCACCGACGAGTGGTTGCTGTTGGTGTCGATGGGCACAGAGGAGGAGCTAGTAGAAGTGGTCGTGCTCGTAGGAGTAGGTGTCTTGGTATGGGGCTTGGCGTGGCCGCCGGCAGCCACCACTGGCCAAGGGGTCGCGATCGCCCCGGGCGAAGTGGTCGGCGGCAGTATGGTGACATTTGGCGGGAAGGTGGGCATCGCTCCCCCGACGCCACTGACTGCAGGGAGCGGCCCGTCCGATGCCATGTCGGTCGGCGGCACGATGGCGGGAATGGGGGCGCCGGCGGGCCCGTGGGCTGAGAGGGTCATGTTGACGATCTGTGGGAAGAGGCTGGACACGTTGTAGACGGAGCGGCCGGGGAGGCTGGTGGACGACGGCTCGATGGCTGCCTGCGACAGGTTGATGTTCCTGCCGGTGCTGGGGCTGGTGCTGGTGCTGCTGCTTGTGCTGTTCTCGCGTGTGTGCTGGTTGAGGCCGCCTTGCGAGTGTCCCACGGCGAGCAGCGAGTGAACCAGGCCGCCGCCCTTGCCCTTCGCCCCAGTCTTCTTCTTGTATCCCGACGGCCCCATGACGATCACATGCTCCGTAGTCCCCCCACCCCCACTGCCACTGCCACTGCCGCTCCCGCTCTCAGTATCGGCGGACCGCATCCTAGAAGGCGCTGGTGCTGTTGTGGTGGTAGTACATCTCGCACATTGCCCCTTGGGCCTCAGCGTCACCCTGGCCGTCCCGCCCTCGGCACTGGGGGTGGTAGTAGGCTTGGTGGGGCTGGTGGCCACCACCAGCGACTTACGGACCTTGGGGCGCCTCAGCTTCGGCTTGGTGGCGAATGGCAGAGCGATGGGGTTGGAGCGGCGAGAGCGACGTGCTCGACGCCGGATGGCGGCTGCTGTCGCTGCCGCTACTGGTAGCACTCCTTCAGCAGCGGTAGCACTAGCGGGATGGCCGTCACGGTACGAAGAATCTTCAGGAATGGCCGTTGTTGTCACATCCGCGGTCGATGTGGAATTCGATGTGGGTGTGTCCGTCTGGGCGACCTTGACGACTGACGCCTTGCTCACCACGATGCCCCCCTGCGTCTGATCCTCCTCTGTGGGCTCACTCGCACCGTGCTGCTCCGGGGATGCTGCTTCTGTTGGTATGGCTGTGGTTGGGGTGGTGGACGAGCTGTTGCTGCTGCTGTCGGTGGCGTGCGACTCGAGCTCGGGGTTGTTGGTGCATGGGAAGGCCCCCATCGGCAGGGGGCTGGTGGTCGGTGCGGCGCTCTCACTGGCGGAAGACTGATGGATGCAAGGATGAGCAGCGGGGACAATTGGTGGTCTTTTCTCTGCGTGTGGGTGGGGTGGGTAGGTTGGTGCGGGTGCGTCCTTTGCTCACCGATTTGGTGTCCTTCTTGACGCAGGCGAGTTTGCAGAAGGATGATGTGGTGACCGGGCACATGAGTGCACCCACGCTGCCGTGGCAGGAGGAATCCTTGGGCGGTGTGAACTCGGGCGCGGTGGCCGCCAGGTAGTCGATGTTCCCCTTTTGCAGGTCGCAAAACGGCTGCAGCAAGCAATAAAGCAAGGAGGGGCAAAAGGAAACCACACACAGATAGATACCGATGTGCGTGTGTGTGTTTCCTCCCCGCCCCGCCATCCCACCCCACTGGTCACCTTGGAGTACATGCTGCGGACGCATTGGGAGCCTTTGGTGCCCTTGGTCGAACCTGACAGCACGAAACAACACAACACAACACAACACAGCACGCGGAAATGAACAAGACAGATCACATCAGATATATCCCCAGCCGCGTACCTCCTCCCTTCGCCCACAGGCAGTTCTGGCTACACGAGCATTTCGTATACTCCGACTCCGACAACATCCTCACACCCCGCCCCAGGCTGCGGAACGACACACCTCCCTCCCCGCCATCTGAACCACCACCACTCGTCAGCCCCGCCGATGGTGTGGATGAGGGTGTAGGTGTGGCGGCTCGTGGGTTGCGCCAACGGGGACTATTGAAGCCGCGGCTCAGGACGAGCTCGGCCAGGAGGCTGATGGACCAACACAACACACAGAGATCCGTTCATGGCTGGATCTCGTGGTGATTCCATCCATCCATCCATCCATCCATCCATCCATTCACTGACCTGAGTCCGCTCCATGACCATGGGAAGTGCAGGGGAGAGTAGAAGCCGTACGCCGGCGGCTGCAGCACCTTGCGGCGCGTCGACGAACCGCCCTCCAGCAGGGACGTTCCGACGCATCCGCTCGTCGTCGAATTGGCAACACACTGGTGGGCATCTGACGGCGGCGATAGATGGCCGTGGCCGTCTGCCTGATCAGAGGGCGGCGAATAAGCTTTGATGCGGCCCGGCCCGGTGGTCAGCAGAAAACCCACCAGCAACAGACGGGAGATCTCGCCGAAGGCGCCAGAAGATCGGAGGTGCATTCCCGTGCCGCTCATATCAGTGCGTATCTGCTGGTCTCAGGCTGCCTTGTCATCCGTCGTGAAAGGATTTGTTTTTCCCCTTAATTTACAAATCCTTTCGTAAACGCAGCGTTCCCCCAATGACCATCTCCAGCCTGAAAACGTGCCTGAAGACACTCGACAAACGTTCGCACATGGAGGGATGGACGGCGTGTGTGTGTGTGTACCCGTCTGATCTGACGTGGCGTCAAGACCCTCATGCTGCCGGCCGTCAAGACGACCTAAATATGACGTGTGGTCATCTTAGGTCGTCTTACCTGTGCGTCTCTCTGCCCGGGCTGTGTGATGGGGGCGAATGTGCAATGTGGTGCGAACACAGGGACACTAGTAGTGAGAGGTTCGTTCGAATGGGTGAGTTCGCACATCGGTTCTTGCACAAGCACACGACAGTTCGTCGTCACTCACACACTCACACACACAGTGAGAGAGAGAGAAGAAGGCACCGAGGACACCAGCTATGTACACAGACTAGTCACCACCACAGACCAACCGCAACACAGCCGCCTCGACCGCCACCCTAAAAATACAGAGACGGCCTCAACCCACCGACCAGCCATCCATCCAGCCAGCCACTCATGCAGCCAGCCTACCATCCAGCCAGCCATCCAGCTACGTCAGTAAGTCAGACAGTGGATCATCAGCACTCGACGGTGACGCCATGGTGTGCCTTGAGCTCATGTTGGTCCTCATCCTCGTCAAACATGGCCTCTTCCTCAAAGGGCGTCCGCAGGTGCTGCGCCGATGACGGGAAGGGCGGAGGGAAGCCGGCCGCCCCGGCGTCAGCCACCTGGCCGGTCTCCTCCCCCCTCAGCTGCTTGCGGAAGATCTGGAGGGGCCGTTTGAATCCCTTGGGGGCTCCCTCTGGCTGCGGGGCGGCGATCTCAGTGACCTTCTCGAAGCCCACTTGCCGCGTCAGGAGGTCCTCAAAGTCTTGCGGCTTGAGCTGGATGGCATTGATGCTCTGCTGGATGTCTGGGGGCAAGGTCTTGGCCTTCTTCTTGTAGGACGACCAGGGCTGTGGCTCCAACACAAACAGACCGCCCGGCTCCAGCAGCCGGTAGACCTTGACAAAGAAGTCGCGGACGCCCGTGTCGCCCTGGTGGATGTGCACCCACTTGATGACGCTCAAAGCCAGGATCACACCGAACTGGTCGCCCCGACGCTCGAAGATGTCAGACAGCACGAAGTTCTCGGCGCGGAACTCTATGTTGTGCGGGAAGCTCTCCTGGCTGCTGTGGGGCGACTTGTCGTCGGTCTCAAGCTGGTCGAGGGACCCCTCCCCGCCCTCATCTTCCTCCTCCTCGTCGAATACGCCCTCGTCAGACGCCTCCTCCTCCCCACCACCCTCACCCTCCTGTGTCTCGTTCAGGGCCGCCAGGTCGATGTCGATCTCGCCATCCGGCAGCTCGGGCTCCTGCTGTTGCGCCTGCCGGCCCTTGCCCGACACTGCATCGTCATGCAGCTTGCCGAGAGTGGCCGTGTGCCGCGGGGGAGCTGCCGCTGCGGTCGCGTCAGCGGCCGATGGGGTGCCGTCCCTGCCATGTCGCTTGGTCTCCTCCCTCCTCACTTTATCGATTACGCTCTGCGGTGCCTCCCACCAGTGGAGAGGCTTCGTGCCGGGGTGGGCCCAGGGGTAGGGACGGCCGCTCGCTGCACACTCAGCAGCAACAGCAGCATCAGCAGCATCAGGCTTGTCACGGCCGTGGTGCTTCTTGGGCATCTTCCGCTTGGCCGTGTCGACCCGTATCTGCCAGCCGTTCTTCTTGATGCGCTTGAGAATGCGGTTGGCCTCAGCGACGAGCTCGACGTCGACGTCGATGCCGACGACGTGCATGGGGTCGAGGAGGGCGGCGACGGTGAGGGGGATGACGCCGATGTTGCAGCCGATGTCCAGAACGTACTTGGCCTCGAACAGCTGGGGGTCGAAGCGCACAAGGGCGTCGATGCGGGGGTCGACCTGGCTTTCGTAGAGGTGTGAGGGGTCGCGATAGCCGTCGTAGTACCGGTTGTAGTTGCCGTGGGTGTAGACGGGCTTGTTCTGGTGCCGGATGGGACCGCGGATGAGACCTAGAGGCTGCAGCACCGCAGGCAGCCCTTTGGCGTCACGCTCCAGCCGACGAGCCTTCTTCTTCGACAGCGGCTTCTTCTTCGCCTCTCCTCCTCCAGAGGCAGAGGCAGAGGCAGCAGCACTGCTCGGCTTCCTGTCGCCTTGCTGTGCACCAGCATCATCCGTCCTGCCCCGCTCTGCCGCTGTGCCGTCCCGCTGCGAGCTCTCTCCTTCCTTGGCGTCGTGGTTTTGCCTGCTGGGTACGTCTTGCAGTCTGCGTTTCTTCCTGAGCGGCGACGGTGAGGGTCGGTGATTGGTTGACTCAGGCGACTCGCTCTCGCGGTGGCTGAAGTTGCGTCGCTTGCCCTTGCGGTGAGAGGGAGAGCGAGGCCGGGAGGCGTTGGGCCGGCGTCGCTTGAAGGGACGGGCTGACTGGCTGCGGCTTCGGGGACGCTCACTTAGGGGAATATGAGGCGGGCGGTGGAGGTCTTCGCTGTCCATGATCCAGATGCCATAACACGCGACAAAGCAAGCGGTCTTATCAAAGCGAGCTCAGTGGCTTCTGCGAGCTTAGCTGGCAGATCTGCGTGATCTGCGACGCAACCCCTTGATAAGCAGCGCTGATCTACTGATTCGTACTCAAACTTGTTTGCGGCTTCTTTTTGTCGGATCCGATGGTTTCATCTACGTGGCTCCTCGTGGCTGCACAAGGCCTGCAAGCCACGAGGCAGCCCACCGCCTGGTTGCTGAGCACCCCTCCCATCCAAGATCCAACACGATGGCGTAGGCGAGGCTGCAACAGATGTCTGCGGGCAACACCCACACAGAGCGACCCATCGATGCCGTAAGGAGGCACATGCACCTACCTTGCATGACGATGCATTAGCTAGCTGCAATGTGTGTGTGTGTGTGTGTGTGTGTGTGGTGTTGATCCATCCATCCATCGCAGGGATCTGTTGTCGAACCTCGAGCAGTTGGTGGAGAGCCGGGAGGCCAAGAGGCCGAGGCCGCCGGCGCGGGAGGGGCGGCAAAAGGTCAACCAACAGATCCAAAGCCAAGGTGGGTAGCCCACAGGGCCACCAAGCCCCGCCAGAAGGCCCTCTCAACATGGCATGCATCACCGATGTGCTGTGGTTGTCTGTGTCAGGCGAGAGCATCACTGGCCAAGCTGGGTCATTCGACGAGACCTCCCTGGACGCCTTCTACGGCGAGTATGTCCCGTTCTCTTCCCTGCGGCTCCACCCATCCCTTGTGCAGCAGCTGAGCCAGACGGGCAAAGACACAGCCACCCTCATCCAAGCCCTGGGCATCCCCAGCATTCTCACAGGAGATGACGTCATCGTCGGTGCTGAGACGGGCAGCGGCAAGACACTCGCATACCTAGTGCCCCTGCTGGATCGGCTGCTGCGGGAAAACGAGAGAGAAGGAGAGGCTGAGGCCAGCGACGGGAGTGGCGGTAATACTGACCGATCGCGGATGTATCCAAGGGCCGTTGTGATGGTGCCCAATCGCGAGCTGTGTGACCAAGTCTACAGATGGGCACAAGAGCTCGCCAGGTGTGTGGCGGGATGGAGAAAGGCACTCACACCAGAGTGGCAGGCAGGGATGGGCCCCCCCCCCCCCCCCCCCC